TACAAGGTCTAATCCTGCCCAAGTAGGATCACAGCTCAAAATTCTCTCCCCCAACAGGCCCACTCTGCCCTTGGCCAGGCACTTTCAAAATATTCAGTGAAATACTCAGCAGACCTAATCAGGAGAGAAGTTGGTAAGGGAGCAACTGAAATTCCTAAGCTAATACAGAACTCCCAGAATCCTCTTACCTTACTCTTCAGCTCCTCTCTAACTTTCTGGAGAACATGAGGATACAGTCCCAGGTAAGTGATCAGAGATGTAGCTGCACTGGCCGTGGTTTCGTGTCCTCCAAAGAGTAGTTCAGTTGAAGATTGCTTTAGTGCCTAAGAATCGAGTAAGACCGATATTTTTACAAGTTTCCATGCAGGTTCACAGTGATTACTCAGAATCCAACTGAGGGTTCTGGAGGGAAGACTAGAAACGCAAAAAGTTTTGCTGATAGAAAGTCAAGAGACCAAACGTCTTTAAAGAGAATGCAGTCTCTTTAGATTAGCTACCTGTACCTGGACCTCCTGAGTTAAGGCCTTGATTTTATTAAAAACGTCCAAGTTTCTTTATTAACATTTGCAGATTCCGATTTTTCCCTTTGAAATTTGGAAAGACCAGGGGACGCTCTTAGAGTTCGGCGGCAGCCTCTTTAGCGGCTCTACTGACCTAGTATCAACCCTTCGGGTTGTTATTGCTGGAGTCTGGGCAGGGTGCCCACTCTGAGAAGCTTTGAGGGCCCCCAAGCACTGCGGGTTGAAAAGCTGGGGACCCAATTCCACATCCCCCGCTTTGAAGCCATCACTCACCTGCATGTCCAGCCGCTCTCCCCTTTCCCAGGAGTGCTCAATCAACAGCTGCAGCGCGTCTTTACAGCTCCTGTCTGCTTCCCCAGCCCGCAGCCGGCAGATCTTGGCTCTAATGTTCTCCTCGATGCGCGCGTGAATGAGGTTCCGCGCCTTCATGCCCTGAGCAGAGAGAGAGAGAGAGTGTGAGGCGGTGAGCAGACGCCCGGCTCCTGCGCCCCAAACTTCGCACCCCGCCTGCCGCCCTTACCCGGTACAACCCGCTGAAAGGCACGTCGATGGGTAGCGAGAAGAGATTGCGGGTCATCTCCTCAAAGGCTTCGACTAGCTGCTGCTCTGCCTCTCCGCTGCCAGCCCGCGGGGGCTCACAGCCCAGCAGGATGCGCATGGCGATGCGGAACATGAGGCGCTTCACCTCGGGGTAGACCAGAAGGCCGCGCTCGCCGCAGCTCAGCCATCGTTCCAGGCAACTCCCCACTTCTTCAATGATCACTGGCACGTAGCACTGGAGTGCCTCGCGGCTGAAAGCCTGCATAATCACCTGGGTCCCGAGAAGCCAAGATCGTTAAAATCCTCTATCCGCTCCATCTCGCCTTCCTGGGTCCCAGGCCATACAACCTCAGCTCCTCCAGACTCTACGTACATTCCGGCTGGGAAAGCTAAACAAGAGCTCGGAGGAGTCCAAGTCCCACCTCTGCTAGCACTTGCCTTGCATTTATCTGCCTGAACCATTCCAGAAAAGGAGTCCTGCTCCTTGCCCAGGAGTCCCCACCCCGCCCTCACCTTCTTGCGCTGCTTGTGCGAGGAATCATGCAGGTTGGAGAGACAGCCAGAGCCCAAGATGGTGCGCACAGACGCGGGCCAGTGGACCGACACCAGCCGATGCTCTCCGAGCAAGATGCGCCGCACGTTGTCCGCGCCCATCACCCGAACCGTGGGCCGCCCAAATAGATGTGTCTTGTAAATGAAGCCGTATTTCCTGCGCTTCATCTGCAGAAACTTCCTCCGCTGTGAGAAGACCGTAGAGAGACGTGGGCATGAGGGGGCGCCTGGGAGCTTCGCGCCTTCCGCTAGCTCCGTTCCTAGCTGCAGTCGTTTCCTTCACCCGTACGCCTAACCTGGCTTCAGCTGAGATCCAGAGCTGAGCCGAGCTCCGGGGAAGCGTCCCGCCCCAAGCTTCCTTACCTGCAGCACCATCTGCAACGTTTCCCCAAAGAATGGGAAGCCCATAGTCCCGGGGGGTAAGGGAAGAGAGCAGCTGCGGTCGCGGCTGCTCACGCAGTACAAGTCCCAGAGCTTGATCGCAGCCAAAAAGAGCAGCAGTGGTAGCACAAAGGTGCAGAGCGCACTGGCCAGCAGCGCGGGGAGCCCCATGGCACGCTACGGTCTCCCGCGCCACCTGCCGCCGCCACCAGCTCTCCAACCCCGCCGCGCGCCCGCTTTATAGGCGGTCCAGGTTACTGCTCACGTTACCTTGGTTAGACACAAATTAGTTCACTCAAAGTTCATCTTTAATTGCGGATTGGGCCCCTGGCTCCTCCCCCCCGCGAGGCGCAGCCCAAAATCTTTAACCGTTTGTTCTGCGCCGAAGCAGAGGCGGAGCGGTAGCTGCTACCCTCGGAGCGCGCCTCCTGGGGTGCTAGGCTAGGAGCGCCGCCTCCCCCATCCAAGGTGTGCGGAGCTCCCAGACAGCAGGGAGTGGGGGCGGACTCTGGGTTCCCAGGAGCGAGAATTCCTATCCTGGCTCTTTCAGGAGGCCCTTGAAATCCCTCCTGCCTGATCCAAGCGTCTCCCCAGCCCAAAGCCGCCTCCACGGGCTTTCCATGTACAAGTGTCGCGTGGGTTCCTGTCCACCTGCTCAAGAAGCAAAGGGAAGCGTGCTCAGCAATCTTTATTCAGTGAACTCCTCCCACAGGTGTGGTAACTTAGGTCCAGAACGCAGGTTTCCCGACTTTCGAGGATTCCAGAGAAGAGCCCAGGACCAGGACACAAGCGAGAACCGCTGGGAGTCAAATATGACCTGCGGGTCGTGGATCCTAGCTCCCGGTCACAAGGGAGTACTCATAAAGTCTTGGAAAGTCCTCCGGAAGGGTACAAGTAAGCATCCAGGTCCCTCAGGAATCTGATGCAAACCTGCACAGCCTGATCCCTTATTTTGACTCTCCAGAGGCGGACCCCAGGGGCAATTCATCCACTGCTCCACAATCAACGCCAGGCTGTGTGATCCGGCCACGCCGCCGGTTCCCTAACACCCTGGGTCTTGCAGTTCTACCTGGGCAGCGGGGAAGAAGTCCTTGGTCATAGTAGGGTAAGGAGACCCAGACAGAGCAAAGGAAAGCCCAGGAGTCCTGGCTCCAACTCTACTTGCCTGACCTTGGACAAGTCATTAAACATTCCTGTGCCTGTTTGCTCCTCCTTAGGATGGAGGTGATCGTTCCCAATCTGTCTACAACTCAGGGCAGCTGTGAGTTCCCAAACCTAGCTTCTGGATGTAAAGACTCTTCCTCGTTTCAGGAACGCTAAGCTGCATTACCAGAGTGGCCAGGACGTTGGGCGCTTAGAGCCTTCCTCCGCTCCCCCACTTCCCAACCTGTGTAAAGCTACTGTCCTCACTCTGGTGAGAGGGCATTTTGGCCCTAAACCCAGATGTCTCTCGGCAGCTAATGGGAAGGTTGAGGGAATGTATACCCGGGAGCGGGTCCTCTGGACTCTGCCCAACTCCAATAAGCCGCTTCTGCAGCCAGTAGCTGAGCTCCGGCACTACCGGGTGCGCAAGAGCGTTCACTGTTTCCCACCTGGCCGAGCTACACCGCTTCCGACCAGTCAGAGCCACACGCTGCCTGGGTTTGCGCGCTGAACGTACCGGCGGCCCCGAAAATGAAACAGAATGACGTACGTTTGTTTAGAAGCACTGGCTCTAGCAGAAGCACTCCCTCACGCCTTGGAAAGCGTCCCTTGGAGACGGAAAATTTTAATCCTGAGAGCTTAAATACGTGGCACTAATGGGGATCGCGGTGGTCCCCAAACTCGGAGGGTCAGGAAATGTATGCGGAGGTCTTAGCGACCCGCACAGTCCAGCAAATCTCCAAGCCAGGGTCGCCACAGGGTGTGTTTGGAGGAGTTAGCGATTCAGAATCTCTGGGCAAGACGGTCTCTTACTGTCATTTCTTTTAGTCAACTTCCTGGGCACTAGCAGGAACCGGGGAGAATCGCGCTAGAGGTAATTCTCAGAAATCCCCAACCCTCCCCTTTGTAGAGCGCCTCCGGCTGGTGTGCAAAACTGACTATCGGGAGCGGGAGCGTGACCTGGGGCCCATTCCCAATCCTCGGGCCTGACCCGCCTGTGACCCCTGCAGGCCGGACCGTGACATCCGAGTGAACTCTGCGGGGGCCACCTCGCCAAGTTCAGCTCGCGCCGGGTCACAGGATGAGCGAGGCCTGCGCGCTGGAAGTTGCCACAGACAAAAAAAAAAAAAAGAAGAAGAAGAAGAAAGAAAAAGGAAAAACCTGCCTGCTCATCGAGACCCGCGCGGGGGTATCTGTTGCCAGGAAAAAAATTACATATGAGAGTGAAAGATCATTAAAGAACATCTTGAAGGGGGAGAGGGGGTCAATAAATTACCAGCCCCCAAAGAACTTTGATCTAGGAGCCTCGCCACGTTTTTTTGAGTGGTGGTGGGCGGGGAGGGGGGTTTGGCTGGCTGGAAATAGACTGTTTCCAAAATGTTTACAAAACATTTCATTGCTAAGAGGTGGAGGTGAGAAACCTTTTTTGTTGTTGTTGTTTTGTTTTGTTTTGATTTGATTTGTTTCTTTACTGAAGGGAAAGGGAGGATCCAGAGGTAGATAAGTCAGATGAACTAGGGCAGCTGAAGCACCCCTCCATTTTTCTCCCTTCTTCATCTCTCCTGAACATTTTTATCCTCAGGGTTCCATGCCTGCTGTTCCCTCTGCCACTCTCTGGTTCCTTCCAAAGTTGAATATCACCTTCTCAGAAAAGCTTTCCCAGCCCACCACTCTATTACAGATGCTTCGCTTTATATTCTTTACGGGGCTTATCACCACTGGACAGATTCTTGTTCTTATGGGTTTTTTTGTTTTATTTATTTATTTATTTTGCTAGTTCATTGCCTCCTTCCATGAGCAATATCAAGAACAGAAGGGCAATAACCACATCTGCTCCTTCCCAGAGAATTTAGAGCTACTAAATCAGGGAACCTTATTCCTTAAAATTATTAACATAACAACGAGAAATTAGAGTAAATTTGGAGCCACTCCTATGGCTTATTTAGTTCAAACCCAAGCGCAGGTAAACCAAGTTTCTGGGAACTGATAGACTATCCTGGTTTCTGAGAGGCTACGCCTCATATTTCTACACTCTCCCTAAATCAGAATCAATCCTGAAGCTGGGGTCCTTTGGCCTCCTCACCCAGACATATGCTTCTCAGACCCAGATGTCCTAAGTGTTTCCAAGAGCACCCTAAGGGCAGACCTGCATCCTGCCACCTTTGCTACCTCTGGCGCCTGCTGAGCTCAGGGTCTGGCGCCCGACCTGTGACCAGCCATGGGTGATGAATTGCGCTGTATGGGGGTTATGGCAGTGTCAGCCCCTCTTGGAAGAGCCGGCTATGCTTTGGAGCTGCCAACCCTGCACACCCCTGCTGAGTTCCCCCTTTCCTTCAGGCCCTAGGATCCACCTTAAGCATAAGGTCAGGAGGGCACTGGCTTCCTTCTGGTTCATTAAGGGGTCAGCTCTGGCCTGAGAGGCAACTTCCCCAGCTCACCAGTCATGTTCAGCTGCCCAGGCCTGTGTGAAGATGGGTAGCAGGTTGAAGTGTGCTAAGGATTCCTATGAAAAGCCAAAGGGGCTAAGCCCAGAGGGTGAAGCAGTGGGGTTAAGTGATGGGGTAGAGGAAGCACTGGTGGGGGAGTTCAGAAACCCATTGCTGGCTCCTTGGGGAGTCTTTGGTTCTTTCCTCCTTAGTTCATCCTCTGTAACAGAGAGGATATTGAAGTAGTAAACCAGGAGATTTCTGCAGCTAGCTATGGGGGAGATAATTCAAAGCCGTCTCCAGAACTAGGCTCAGAAATGAAGCCCGTCCAGTGAAGGATTGGTGCTGTCCACCTTCTGAATATGCATGCTCCGGGGTGGGTCCTTCAGGTAGGTCCTTTATGTGCCTCCCCCACCCTCCACCTGGTGCCTTCCCACCAAGGAGCTCAGCTAAGCCCTAGCCTCCTTGCTCAACCGCTGGCAGGAACTTTTATTTCTTGGCCTTCCTGTTTTGGGTACAAATATCCCAAACCTCTCTGATTATATCTCAGCCTCCCATGAGGGGATTATGTCTCAATCTCCCATGAACCATCTTTAGAGACATCTCGGTATGCCTATTCTACCCTGGGAAGATTAAATGCGTTCTTGAAGTAGGAATTTTTCTTTTAATAAGTCTCCAGCAGAATCCGGTGATGTTGGGCTGTTCAGGGACCTGGAAGCGCACCCAGTTCAGAGTTTCCGCGAGATTAGACGGGCAGAAAGACCAAGTCGCATGAAACCGGAGGCCCGTTACCTTCTGTTGGGCTCCCTTTTGGTGTTTTTTCTCAAGGACCCAAATCAATTCAGGAATGGCCCCCCGGCGATTTGGCTTCCTCGAAAGTATTGTAGTTCCCACCACGTGCGCCTGGTCTCTGGGTAACCCCCGCCGCGGGCCCGCGATCCACGTACTCTCTACGGCGCTTTGACTCGATGGCGGTGGCATGACTTCTTACTCGCTAAAGTCCAGCACCGAGACACGTTCGGTGAAGGTTTGTTAAACTAATTAGTGACGGGTGAATGCGCGCGGGATGTAGGGCGCGCAGCAGCCACTGGGCAAGCCAAGTCTCGCAGCGCCGCCGCTCAGAGGTGTAGCTCATTCCCTGAGGCCGGAGGCGCGAGCGGGTGGAAGAGGAGCCGAAGCCCGTCCACCGGGTGCACGATGGGCACCGTCTGCATGGCCGGGAAGGCGGACGTGGCCAGTTCCCAGCGAGCGGTGCGCACCAGCTCCACAGCTAGTAGCTGCAGTACTGCCTGTGCCAGCTCCTGGCCGAGACAGCTGCGCGCTCCGCCACCGAAAGGGATGTAATGAAAGCGGCCGGAGGTGCCCGGAGCATCTTCACGCGCTGCGCTAAAGCGCTCCGGGTCGAAGCCTTCCGGCGGGCTACGATACACAGCTGCGGTCTCGTGCGTGTCCCGGATACTGTACATCACGCTCCAGCCTTTGGGGATCTGGTAGCCCTGTAAGGAGGCGAGGTGCACAACCTGACCACAAAATACCTGGAAACAGGGCCCGAAAAGACCCTCCACCCCCGTGCACCATGCCATACCGGCTTGTGAAACCCGGCAGGAAGGCGTCATTCTGGGCACCAGAATGATCTTCCTTCCAGCCTCCGCTCTTTCATTAGGAAGCTGTATGATCTTGGGCTAGACATTCAATCTGCGCCTCAGTTTCTTACTTGATAAAATGAGAACTGAAATGCCTATTTCGTTGTAAAGATTCGAAAAGGGGTCTGACACATACTAGTGTTCAGTAAATATGTGTTATTATATAGTAAATCTATCGTTTATATTCCCTTGTTTTGTCTTTCTTTTTTCCTCTGACATTAGATCAGAAGACTTATATTCCAGTTCTGCACCTACCAGCTGCCTGAAACCCCAACACAAAGGGCAGAGACCCCCATTCCTATAGGTCTGTTTAATTATAAAACTGTTCTTTTCATTTAACTGAAAACTTCCGGCCATAACCACTCACTGTTTGGACAATACTTCAGATCTGGTAGACACACTTTAAGAAGTAGCACATGAGATACTGAAGACAGCCTTCCTGTAATTTTTGCCCACCTCTAGCCTTGCTAACCATTTTGCTTTTTTTGTTGTATTTTCCAATCCCTCGATCATCCTGCTGCCCTCAATTCAAGAGATTGCAGCTTTCTGAAGCCTGTTTGCCAACCCCCACCCCACAGCCTCACCAGGGTGATAGGACATCTTGGAGTCACTAAGATTCATCTTGGAATTGCTGGCTCTCCTCTCTAGTACACCCCATCTGTACACTGGAGGATGGTTAAGACTCTTCCTTGATCTCTGCTCACCCTCTGTGGGGACCCTCCCTGATCTTCTGCTCCTCTTCCTGTTCCCCTAAGGTCTTCCAAGGCATACCAGCATCTGCAGAGTAAACTGTGATTTCCAAGATTCAGCATCCAAGACACTTCTAAACACCCACCTTTGTCTGGGCTGTTCCTTCTCTGTGGTGCACTCTCATTCTACCACACTCATGACTTCAGTTCAAATGCCAGATCTCAAAATGTTTTGATTGCACCCAGCATTGGAAATCACTTCTTTTTTTCCACCATTTATGATGAAGCTATCAGTGCTGGTCCCCTCATTGTCCCCATGATACTCAATGCCCTCCCCCTGCACCCTGGTAGCAATGGGTCATGGATGCTCACTGTGGAAGGCAATGCCCACTCTTTGTTTGGAGTTGCTCAGTTATTGAGCGTGGTGCTCTAGAGACGGCTTTTTAGGCCAACAGTCCTCAATTTAGCAGTCGGAATGGGCCAATCCCAATGCTGCCACTTGGCTACACAACCCTGAACCCACCTGGAGAATCAGAGTTGGAGGACCAAGACAGTTTCCTTCCAGGGAACAAACTGAGGCCTGGAGTGAAGAGAGAAATGCCCACTGCATTCAAAGAGGAGTCAGGTCTAGACCTTAACCTTGCCCATCCCAGGGCAGTCAGCAGACCATTAAGAAATTCTACCCTGTAGAATTGCTGCACTTCACTGGCATCCAACCTTAGCTGGAGCCCTGGTCAGGTAACAATGATGGATTCTTTGATCTTGTGAGGGAGCCAGAGGTGAGATACATACTACAGTCTTTGCTTCCCACTCACCTTTGCTGAATGGGAGGGGGATGGTGTGCAGAGGAAAGCAAATTTAATTCTAAAACTTGATTATTATTGAGCAGACCTACCTAGACCGCTGACAAAATATTTAAACGAAATTCCTAACATTTCCCGGTTTACCAGGAGCCAGGCTTTGCATCCCTGTGCCGAGGACCCTGGTAAGTGGAGGAGGGCTCACCCCGTTTTACAGATGGGAAAGTTGAGGTCCTGGGCTAGGAGACCTGCGGCCCTAATCCCCAACCCTCTTTCCACCCACTCACTGCAGCAGGTGACAGGAGGCTGGCAGCTTGGCGGGCAAGGCGCACTTACGTCCAGCTCAAAGGTGCGCAGCGCTGTGCGGTAGCCCCCGGACACCGGCGGCAGGAGGCGCAGCACCTCCTTGACTACGCAGTCTACGTAGCGCAGACGGCCCAGCACCGCGAGACTGAGGTCAGGCTCGCAACCACAGTCTGGCCCTGGCCCGGAGGCCCCAGGCGTGCAACTGCACGCGCGTTCCAGCCCTTGGACTGCCAACTCCTGCTGGATCTTGGCGATGGCCGCCGGATTTTGCAGTAGCAGCAGAACGAGGGACGTGCTGGCACTGGCCGTAGTGAAGAAGGCGGCGAAGAGGAGCTCCACAACGGACTCCTGCAAGACAGCCCCGTTGTCTCTGATTCACAGTCTTGGCCACACGGCGGAGGCGCAGAAAACCTTAAACTATTGCACTAAGGCGGGCGAGCTGGGATGTGCTACCGTGATGGCTGTGTGCTGTGCGAAGGTCCTGAAATCCATTAACTTCCAAATCTGCCACTTGGGAAAGTCGCATAGAGCACCAGGCAAACAAGTATCTACCTACCTTTCTTGTTGAAAGAGTTCCCAGAGGCAATGCTGGAAACTTACTCAGTGCATTACCCTTAGTGTTTTATTAACCCATTGGATTCTCCCCCTAATTCTGTGAGGCACAATTACTGCCATCCTTTTACAGGATTGGAAACTGAGGGCTGAGACGTACTCAAGCTCCCTACAACTAGGAGTTTTAGCAGTGAGGCTTGGGATTCTAAATGCTCTTGACCTCTTGGTGGTGCTGCCTCCAACTCCCACTGGGCCTTCTGATAGCAACTACAGTGAAACAAAGGTATCTTCAGCAGCCTCCCACCAAAGCCTGCATCAGTCCTTCATCTTCTTATCCGTCACTATATCTCTTCCTGGTCTGCCCTGCTCAAGAAGGGATAGCCTTCAGATTTCAAGCCTCACTGCTTTCCTCCACCTTCTCTCTGTCAAGTGTCTTCCTTCCAGGCAGCATCAGTGTTTGTGTTTATAAGGTGAACGAGAACCCTCCCTTCCCATACCTGGGAAATGGGAGGCTGTTTTGCTCACCACTGCACCTCCCATTTCAGCACAGAGCTTGGCAGTGAATAAGTACATAATATTTGTGGAATGAATATTGACCTGTTTGAAGGCTAACTGCTGGTCCTATCTTGGACAAGATGGACATCTGGGATGGAGGACCCCATTGCCCCAACATCTTCCCTGGCCAGTCTGGTCTCCCTTTGTGATGCCCAGGCCAGAACTGAAGATTCCTGGCCAGTGAGCACCTTCCTGAGGGTGTTGTCACCCCTTTCCAGTCCTGTCAAGGCATAGGGATCATCTACTTCATTCCATTCCACTTCCCTTTACTGCCCAGAAATGATCTTATCCATTGGTCACCCCCAGGACCCATAAGCTGATTGCTCATTCTTTTGTAACCATTTTGATGCTTCTGGACCTCAACCATCCAGGAGTCAGGATGGAGATTATTTGTTCCATTGTCAGAGAAGAAACTAAAGCTGAGCCCCATATTCAGTGGCTGGCTGGTAGAAAGTGGGAAACAAGTCAGAGAAAGGATGGAAATTGCTTATGGAAGATTGAGGTCCTTCCATTTCTCACTTTCTCCTAGCCCCCATAGTGCACTTCTTTCTGGGTTCTCAAATAGATCCTGGGCCATTCCAAGCTCCCTCCTTTTCTCCACTGCATCTACATGTAGGTGGAGAGTGGACCTAATTCTCCAGGAGACCCTGCAGAAGCAAAACAGGCAGTTAAAGGTGCCAGGTGCCAAGATGGTTCATAAAATGAGAATGTTGCTTTGGGGAGGAAGATGGGAGTTTTGAGGATGTGGAGGTTTTGGTTTTGGGGTTTTTTTTTTAATTTTTAGTTTTTAATGGACACAATACCTTTATTTTATTTATTTTTATATGATGCTGAGATCCTGAGCCCCTTAGAATTTATAGAAAAAGAGTGAAGGGGACTTCATAGGCAGGGGACAGCAGAGACAATGACATGGGGTGGGGGGGGGGCAAGTGGAGGGGTTAGGTCCAGAGCTGTTTGGGGCCAGAACTTATGAGGACAGGCTTAAGATTCATCCTTTCAGTGCTCCTGGAAGGTGGGTACCAGCGCAGGGCTATGCAGCTAGTGTGTGTGGCTGATTCATGGCAGGAACCCAGTTTCCTCTTTCCTTTCATCCTAATATGTGCCTGTGCCTCAAAATGGTGCTAGTGTGTGTAGACACTTGCTGGGAACAAAGAGAGGAAGGAAAAACCTCCTGCCACCTACCTTCAGCTCCTGCACTGACAGTTCATGACCCAGCTCCCTAGCACTGTGAATGATCAGGTTGAAGGCATCTCTTGGCTCTGCCTCTGTATCTTCATGAAGCTTCTCGGCAATGGCCTCCTCCAGGTACTTGTGCAACTGGTCTCTGGCCTGGATGCCCTGATGCACAGGGAGAGAAGGCAGATGTGGCAGGAAGACTCAGGGACCATATTTAGCTGCCTGCCTCTAAAACTTCTCTGGTTTCACATACTTTGCCTAGATCCTGGTGTTAGATCTCTCAGCTTAGTTCCCTCCATGCTTGGCACGTAGTAGAATTCAATAAATGACCATAAATCTGTCCATTGTCTGCAATAATTATATCTTGATTATCATAAGTCCCTCTGAGCAAGACTGTCATCCTCAAGGCAGTACAATGAGGCTCAGAGGGGTCAAGTGATGATCCAGAGTAACACAGCACAGTCAGGGTACAATCATTCAAGTGCCCTTTCCTTCACTAGGCTCAGGCTGGGGCAGTGGGCATCACTGCTGAGAAGAAGGGGCACCCAGGAAAGCTCTTAGGGGACACTATCATATGTTCTAAGCATTAGCCTCTGTAAGGGGCTGGGGAAGAGGGCTGGGATGCCCCTTCAGAGTTTCAGGGAGCAAGCACAACTAAAACATAACTCCCTGGGGCTGGCGATGTAGCTCAGTAATATTGAGCTTTCCTAGCATCTGTGAGGCCCTAAATTCAATCCCCAGGACCATCTAAATAAAATGAAAATCCCCCTGGGGAAGCCTTGAAATTGAGCACTTCTTAACCAGAAGTATAGATTCAAATCCTGCCTGTGCCGGTAATAGCTGTGTGATCTTGGTTAAGGCATTTAACCCCAATGAGCCCGTTTCATCAATAAAATAAGAATAATAATGCTTAGCAGTCTGCAAGGATTAAATGAGAAAATGTATCCAAAGCGAACAGCGCACATGACCCTTTATACAAATCTGTTATTTTTATTCAGGTGACTGAAAACCAGGAAATCTGCAGACTGAAAAGCTCCATGCAGGGGAAAGGGAAGGCTAAAATAGGGCTTTTTCGGTGCTCTCGGAGCCCCGCCTGTCACTCTGAGCTGGAAATTAGCGGCCCAGGGCAGCGGTATTGGGGGCTAGCACCCATCCGCCTTCGACCAGGGCAGGTGCTGGGGTGGGCTGGGGTGTGCCTGCTGCCCTCCGGTTCCCACCAGTTCTGCAGCCATCCAGGCTTCCGAAGAGGCACTGGAGGCCCCGGCAGAAGCCGCCGCTCTGCGGAGGGCACGGACTGATTGGCTGGACACCCGCCACTAAGACCCAAACTGAGGAAGCCAGCGGTTGCATTGGCTGGAGTCCAACGCGTCAGGCAAGACTCTGAAAGGGTGTGTGGTCCGCCCCGATCCCACATCCAGTCAGAACAGAAGTAGCCCAGGAGCCCACCACCACAGCAAGCCGCCTCCCCATTCTGGGCGGCACCTCAGCCTCCCAGCAGATGTAATGTCGTGGTGCGCTAAGTCTCAGGGATACCCCCCGTGCCGTGGAACCCAAAAGGAAGAAGGTCTGGGGCCGGGGCTCCAGTACCTTGCGCAGACCGCTGAAAGGCACGTCCAGGGGCAGTGAGAAGAGGTTTTCCACCAGCTGCTCAAAGGTCCGGGCCAGCTCGGCACACCGCACCTCGTCCAGCCGCAGACCCAGCAGGATGCGCGCAGCCAAGCGGAAGGTGAGCGCCTTGGCAGCCTGGTAGACAGCTACGGGTCCGCGGGCAGAACACCAGGAGCGCACCTCACGCCGCAGCGCCTCCTGCAGGCGCGGCACGTAGTGCTCCAGTGCGGTGCGGCTGAACACACGTGCCAGCACCTGTGGCGAGCGCGCCAGATCAGCGCTGGCGGGAGAGGGGACCTACTCTGCTGCGCAATTCTCTAGTAGCCAGAAGACCAAGTCTGATCCCTTCCTCCTCTTCTAAGCACCCCAAACCTAAACTTGCTGGGTTTTGCTCTCATCATTCCCTCTAGTTCTGCTGTTACATACAGTCCCTCCCATATATCCACGCTTTTCTAGAAGCCATCCTTGAAGTCTTCCTTGAAGTCCTCTAGGTTTGATCTCCAGCATTTCTGTATAACAGTCACTTTATAATTCAAAACTGGAGAATGTAAGAGACTGGCCCAAGGCCACCTGCTCTTAACCAGGGATCTCGGTCAGGTTCTCGGTGTACCCTTATACCTGGCTCCTACCTGGCCCACAGCAGGTGCCTGAGGATCGCAGTTCTGACGTTGCCCCTAGTTTCCACTCACCTTGCGCCGCCGCCGGTGAGGCTCACCAACCGCACTGAGAAGTGTGTGGGAGCCTAGAAGGATGTGAGCGCTCTTCGGCCACTGGCTGCGCACCAGGCGGTGCTCACCCAGCAGGATGGTGCGCACGTTCTCCACACCGCTCACGCGGATCACTGGCCTGCCCAGCAGGTGGGTCTTGAACACTGTGCCGTAGCGCTCCCGGCGGGAACTGTGGAAACTCGAGCCCTGTGAGCGAGGGGAGCTTGGAGGGCTAGGGCCTCTGGGCCAGGTTGAGGCCTCTGGCCTAGGCCTCCCAACTGATAACACCTTGCCCCATCCCGGCCCGTTGTATTTAACAAAACAGGGCTCCAAACAGCCCCCGGAAATACCCGATGGGAATACAGATGCTCTTGTTTCCACTGGTAAGGTAAAGAAATAGAGGCTCAGAATGGGGACGTGAGCGCCCAAGGTCTCATGACTGAGATACGCCCCCTGACTCCTAACTCTATACTTGAATCTTTACTCGCTCCTCAAGCCCCTCCTAAGCCCAGTATTGTTTAAGCTGCTCTGGGGAGAACTCTGGTAAGTAAGTTACGGTCTTTCTAGGAAGCAGAGAAGCTAGCATAAGCGAGGGTTGTAAGCTCTCCCCGGGGTCCTGGGCGAAGGGAAGGTACTAAGAACCCTGAGAGCATTGACAATGAGGAGAGTCCAGTGGGAGCTGCGGAAAGGGGGCCATATGAGGTTGCAGGGAACGGTAAATTGCTCACCTGAACCAACCAATGCAGCGTTTCGCCGAAGAAGGGCCAGCCCATGGAACCCTTGGGCAGAGGCAGGGCAGAGGTCCGGTCCCGGCTCAACTTCCAGCGGAGGGTCCAGAGGTACTGGGCCAGGCATAGCAGCAGGCCGGCGCACAGGAGAGCGGTGCCGGCCGCCCCAAGCACCGACAGGCAGCTCAGCCCCCAGGGAAACATGACGAGGCTGCGGGGACTAGGCCGCTGCGTGAACAGGAGCACAAGAATTGGGACGCGAGCGGAGCGCAGAACTCACCTGTTATGTCCCCAAAGGGCCAGAGGTTTGGGGGCCAAGACCGAGATTAGTAAACCTCAGACGAGAGTCCCGCTCTAAAAACAAATTGGCAGTGAAAAGCCGCAGTGACCGTGCGCCCTTGAGGAACAAGTACTCCTCCTTTGGCTGGCGCACTTAAGATATTTTCCCAGCTTCCAGTTCAAAACACCAGTCCCTTTTGGGGGTGCAGGCTATCGGGAATGCTCACTCCAGGCCCCCGCTGGACACTCCCACCTCCTCCCCGTAATGGAAGCAGCGAGGGAGGGCAAAGCAACTCACCGGGATTGTCAACCAGGGCTGCAGACCCCGGCCCCAACTCCTCTCTCTACTAGTTTAACCCTTCTCAGATTATCCTCAACACGTTTATATAGATAATGGCTCCCTCCCTACCGACTGATCCCAGATCCCGCTTTGTACAACCCGACGTGCCTTTGCATATTTAAAGCGCCCCATGCAGAGTAATGATTGGAGGCGTTGGGCAGGGGTGCAATCATGGAAGGGATCCTAGAAGGGAGTGGCAGCTAGGCAGGGGGCCGCGCCCGCGCACCCTCGGGCGGGGCTTGCGGTTTCGCGCCAGAACTTTCCGACTCTTCCCAAGAGCCTGGGAAGAAGGCAAAGCCTGCGCTCGGCTTACAGGCTTGCGCCCCGCCGCGCTCTAGGCCCACCCCCACCGCGTCTGTCTCTAGGATCCCCACTCTTCAGCACTAGATGTCCCCTTTACAACCACTCCACAGTTAATGGACTGGGAGTGCTCCCCTTTGCTCCGTCTCTTTCAGGGAAACTGGGGCATCGATGCCGGCCCTTGGCATCCCCAGATTCTCTGACTCCGAACCCTATCCGGGTTCTCTGATCCACCATTCAGGATCTTTGAAGAGATGGTAGTTTCATTGCTGCCAAAAATTCAGCGACGCCCCGTAGTCTGGAGAAACAAATCCTGCTTTTGGGGTCTGAAGGACCGAATTCTCTCCTTTTTTTCCCCCCTCTCCCAAGTCCGACCTACGATCCCCTGTAGTTGTGTCTGGGGTTTTGTGTCCCATCCGAGGGTTCCAAACGGACCGGAGCGTCCTTGTCCCTACATCACAACCTGTTGTGGCGTGGCGGGGTTGGGGGTGGGGAGGAGCATGGGGTCGGTGCTTTCTTTATTGGGAAGAGTAAAAGGTAGCCACACCGGTTGGCTCCAGGCGGCAAAAAGACAGCATCCTTCCTCTCTCTGAAACTCTAGACGCCTCCGCAGACAGGAGACAAAATGGGAGGCATCCAAAGTACCCTGGAGGGCAGGGTAAGGAAGCCAGGGGTAGCCACATTCCATAGTCTTCAGAGTATGCTAGCTGTTCTCCAAATGTCTAGATTTTATTGTTCCTGAAGAATTACCATGTTTTTTTGTATGATATTTTTTAAATGTTAAATACTTTACAGTAAGAGATGGTCAAGAGAACAAATGTTTTTGTTTTGGTGCCACTTCCATTCCAATAATTAATAAATAATATTCCTTTTTGCAAGTCTTTTTAAAAGACATGCTCAAACTTTCAATATTTCATCACAAAATCCAGAGATGTAAATAGTTCTTGACACTTACTTTTTTATTTTTAGCTTTTAGTTGTTGATGGACCTTAATTTTATTAGTTTATTTATATGTGGTGCTGAAAAACCAACCCAGTACCTCACACATGGTAGGCAGTGCTCTACCACTGAACCAAAACGCCAGCACCAATACTTATTTTACAGTTTCTTACAATTTTGACTTGGTTTATAGTTTTGCTTTCTCAAGGAAGCAATTTTAAATCTGGAAACACCAAATAGACAAAATCACAATGCATTTTCAATGATTTGTTCAACCTTTTTAATACTTCACCACAAAATCAAGATGTAAATATAGTTCTTGACACTTGTTTTACAGTCAGGGATAGTTTCTTACAGGTATAAATACCAAAAATGCAAAGAGAGTATTCAGCATAAATACAACCAAGAGAAAAATAAGGATTGGATTTACATAACTATTTGGATATCAGTGACTTTATACAAAGGAAAATGTACAGTTGTTTTATGTTTTTTAGAGTTTAGTTGATTTGGTCTGCTTCCACAGTGAGGATACAGTACTGAGATCTGCTATTTAAAGAAAGTAATCTGACCCCTGTGGTCATTTCTATGTGTAGGAAGAACATATCTACCCTAGTTCAAGCTGCACCTGAAGTGGTTAGCCCCAGTTAACTGTTCTATCTTTTAATTTAAACCAAACCAAACCAAATCTAGAATGATATCAACTACAAGCAAATAGAAATATTAACTCTGATGAACAAAAACAACACTAAATCTTTAGAAAATCCAAAATCTTTTCTTCATATTCAAAAGGATTCAATTAAAGCACCCAAGTAGAACATAATTTACACTCTTTATTAAGTTTGATTTCAGGACGCTTTAAAGATATGTGTATTTTCCCCTCAGAATCAGCAGAATTAAAAGCTTAGTCTACTTAAAGCACATCAAGATGAAAATAAGACTGTCATAAAATGACAGTGAAATATTCCCACATTAGACATGATTGCATTCCAAACATAAACTGAAGAAAAAAACAGGTCGCAAGTTTAAATAAGGGGAGAAAAAATACTTTTAAGTAGAGGCATATGCTTTTCTAATGTATTTGCAATCAGTTTTATATACAATTTTTGACAATTTATATATTATAGTTTTACCTTTTCCCCTTAAAATTGAAAAAAATTAGTTTCACATTTTTCATATATAAAATAGTATTCAATTTTTAAAAATCCATACAAATGTTATTACTATTTCTTATTTAAGCCCTCATCAGTGTATTTTCTCTATTGTATTTTTGAATTTTGTAAACAAATTATTACATCACGACCTGTGCTTGTTAGAGATCAATGCTCAGTCACAGATTAGTGTCACTGAGTATAAACAATGTGAAATCTATGTGTGCTGGGACATACCATTCACCAAATTTCTTAGCTGTTTCACGACTGTCTCTATCAACTTCTGTTTGTCTCGATCATTCTTCCTGAATTGGGCAAATATATTGTTCTTTTTGCTAGTATCCTTCATCCTAGAAACAAATGTGAATGAATAAGGTTATTAGGAGGAAATTAAAAGCTATGCTATCACAAGTAAAATATATTGGCAAGCTCCAAATTACCTCACACTAATTCTATGCTTACAAAATATTCTTCAAAGAAAAAAGGTACTAATGTAGTTACAGATAGAGAAAACACACACATAAATGGTTTTATTTTACATTTTATATGAAGTGGTATTTTTGCATTAGAATGTAAATCTAAAATATGCTAAGTTTAAATATCATACCATTTTCTAATATTATTCCATAAAGTATGCTAAAATACTCTATGTGGATTCTGCAAACTACATTCACAGCAAGACAAGGTAAAAGGAAAAAATGCATTAGAAAATTTAAAACAGCAATGTTTTTGCCTCAGTGGTGTTTCATGACATTATAAATCTATATTTATTTTATTTAAATTTTTTTTGTAGTTGTAGATGGACACCATGACTTCATTTTATTTGTTTATTTTTGTGCAGTGCTAAGGATTAAACCTAGTGCCTCACACATGCCTTTAGGCAAGCGTTCTACCACTGAGCTCCAGCTCCAGCCCCTCTACATTTATTTTAAAAGTTCCTTAAGTCAAATATATCACACATATTGTGAAATGTGGGAAAATAATATATACTTTTAATTAAAAATTGAAGATTTTAGTAGTGATGTGTAAAGTGAAATATGATTAAGTCAAGACAGACTGCCACATAATGAGAAGAAAAAAACACCTTAATTTGTGTTTAGCTGGACAAAGATGTGCCAGTAAATTGTTACCTCAGTTCTGACAGTATTATTTTTTTTTCTCTCTCACTTTTTGTGTGTATGGCAAGGGGCAGTATTAGGGATTGAATCCAGGGGCACTCTATCACCAAGTTATCCCTAACTTTTTATTTTTTGAGTAAGTATCTTGCTAAATTTCCCAGGCTGACACTGAACTTAAGATCCTTCTGCCTCAGCCTTCCTAGTGGCTGGGATTACAAGTATATGCCACCATACCCAGCAATATTATTTTTTTCAAATTACATATTTCTCTATCTTCAAAGAAACCATCATGTAGATAGCCTAGTGGTAAACATTCCAATTCCTGGGCATGTTTTACAAGTACGTTCTTTCCTGAACCATACAGTTTTTTGTTGTTATTGTTTTCTTTTTTTTTTTTTAACATAGCCTTGCTATATTGCCTAGGATGGTCTCGAACTCATAGGCTTATGCAATTCTCCTGCCTCGGCCAAATAGCTAGGACTATAGGTGACACCGCTGCACCTAATTGGGTTTTAATAAATTCAGTTGTTATTTATATCTGCAGGTTTTTTTTTTTTTTTTTGGTGGTGGTGGTGTTGGGCCTGAAACCAGGGCCTGGAGCATGCTAGTAAAGGCTCTACCATTAGCCACACAAACCCAGTCCCCAATAAACATTTCTAAGGCCTATTAAGCCTGCAATTCAGGACACAAAAGAAAAAGTGTTTTGTTCACATTCATACAAAAAGCAATTGCATATGTAATTACAATTCTGAAAGGTAAGAAAAAAGCTTATTTTTTAGTCATTAAAATAGTGTGAGCTTTTAAAAGCTCCATCTAGATATATCTCTTCATCAAAACTTCTAGTTCTTCATTTTGTCATTGACTCAAAATCTGTTAAAGGCTATACAAAATGTTTTCAGAATATACTCACTTCTCCAAAAGAGTAAGGGCTGTGTTTGGATTCACCCGAAGGTACTTTGAAGCCGGCTGTCCATAATCAGCTAGGTAAGTAGACCAATCCCAAACCATAAACAGGTCAAGGAGCTAAGAAAAATGGGAGAAATGTTATATTGACTTTTAATTATTGACCCATACACAAATTAAGTATATGCTATTCTTGGTCCATTTTAACATGATTTGCTTCTTAGATGGAATGGAATAAAGAAATTCATATCTAAAACTTCATTAACTGTATTTTATCTTGTTTAATGTTTATTTATTTATTTATTTTAAAAATATTTTTTAGTTGTAGTTGGACACAATATATTTATTTATTTAATTTTATGTGGTGCTGGGGATTGAACCCAGGGCCTTGCCCTTACTAGGCGAGCACTATATCACTGAGCCACAACCCCAGCCCTTAATATTTATTTTTTTAGTTTTAGGTGGACACAATATCTTTATTTTACATTTATGTGGTTCTGAGGATCGAACCCAGTGCCTCATGCATGCTAAGCGAGCACTCCACCATTGAGCCACAACCCCAGCCCCAGGACATTATCTTTTTTACTTTGGAATTACTAAAACTGTCAGTAGTTGCTTTTCTAATAAATACTGAATTTTCAAATGATCATAAATAAAAACTTTCATTGTTCTGTGAATTATATTAACACATGCTAATGTTTAGAGAATTTATGTTTATTCATTGTTCAGTCAGTACTCATATTTAATTAATAGGGGTTGATGCTACTAACTATACAAAGAAATTTAAAGAACCCTTTTCCTTAAAGATATGTTTACCTTTCAAAGGAGTTGTTTGCATGCAGACTTTTCTAAAGTAATTTAAACCAAAGGCTCAGATAATCTCAATTAAGTGCATTAAAGAACCTCTGCTGGATTCTCCCTGGTGACAGATCCCCAGTATTATTATGAAAGGAGGACTTCAGGATTTGGCCTGTTAACTTTAGGCAATCATTTTGTATAAACAAACAACAACAAAAAAAAGAAACTCTCTTGTCTTCCATAGTGTCTTAAAGTTGACTGTTTGCTTTATAAACTCCAGTTAGAATCATTGTCAAATATGGAAGTAATCTTTTAAAAGCAATGCCATGCCTAACCCAAAGCACCAAACTCCTTATCCAACTTTAAAACCGTAATCCTCTTTAAGCCATTTAAAACCAACTTCCTATCCCCATCTGAATTGTTTCAGAAAGCTAAATGCTTTAGTTACTACTTCCCCTATTTTTTTTTTTTTTAAACTCACTGCATAAGTTAGGAGACTACTGGTTTAACTTTCAAATGAAGGAAGCATTTGGATTTACTTGAAGAATACATAAACTGACCTACTGACTCTGAGAAGGTTGAAACTTTCTAGAGTTATTAACCACAACTAAGTAAAGGTTAGAATAAACTAGCTTTTCTTTAGGAAGGCAAGGGACTTGTCTGACTATTTTTCCATCCAATTTACAACTTTCAATAGAGGCTCTTGCAAAAGGTAGAAACTGCTATAAAAAATATTACCTACTTACTTTCAGACAAGAAAACATTCTAGGCCATACTAGAAGTTGAAACACTGGAACAGAAAGCATACTGAAACAATGTTTAATATACTGTTTGAAAAAGAAAAGGAAACTTATATGTAAATTTTTTACTGTTGTTTGTCGGTAAATACTTTTCCTCTTTTTTCACATGGAGAGAAAGTTACTTTCATACACTCAGGTGGTGAAAATATAATTGATATAATTTCTCTGCAATGTGATCCTCCAAGTGTTTAAGCACCTTATAAAAATGGACATTCTCTGACTCAGTAATTGTACTTCTAAAGGAATATAACTTCAGGTAACATTAATAAAGGTAAACAAAAATTTATGCACAAAGATGGTAAACTCAAAAATGTTATTTGGATGTTATTTGGTTATCAAAAAACTGAAAACACCTTTAATCCCAGTGTTATGAGTGGTTAAGTAGTGAGGTGTATCTGCATGATGAATATAATAGTATGTGCTTAATATTTACATAGAATTTTAAATTACTTGGGAAGATGTTTATGATAAATGTTGCTACTTAATTTAAAAAAACACATAAAACGTAACTAAAAGAAAAGCTGGGCTTGACAGCGTACACCTGTAATTTCAGTTTCTCAGGACACTGAGGCAGGGAGGATACTGAGTTCAAGGCCAGCCTCATCAATTTAGTGAGAACCCATTAAAAAAAAAGACCTGAAAAATATTAACAATGGTAGTTATTTATATGGTGACATTATGGGTAACTGCTACTTACTTTCATAATACTCTACAATGAACATTTGCTAATACTATAGATTTAAAATTTATATATTCACGTATTAAAATACATTCCAATAATGAACACCCTTCACAGTCATCAATAAAAGCCTCATTCTGAAGGATTCCTCTCAGGTTTATGTATGTGTTTGCACAAGTGTATGTGATCATGCAAACAGTCAGCAGAAAGTAACCACTTAATATATTGGTTGTCATCTCCCTTTCTTTCCAAAGGCATTATTAGCAATGTGACCTTTGGGATGTAGAAGAGGAAGGAGTCTTAAATAAAGTTCTTTTTCTTCCTAAGTTTTTCTACACCCTGGTGAGAAAGGAGGAGTCTACTTAATGAATTAAAAGCCTACACCAATTGCACCTCTGAATACAGTACTGTTTCTTCTACAACACAAAAACAGAACTTTCCTAGATAAACACTATACTTATAATTTTAATATATGGCCAAATATCACATGCAAATCTCTAGAAACTACAAGAATCACAAAACTTAACCTACCTGTTCACATGTAGACAAATATATGTGCACATTTACATTAATACTTGTGCATAATTGATCTATACATGTATCTGTGGAAATCTGCACATTAAAGATGAAGCAATGCATTGCCAATATGGATTAAAGGTCTAAACATCAAGATAAAAATCCCTTTAGTTATTCAACAAATATTGACTGCCCACCTGTAACATACCAGACACTATGCTAAGTACCATACAGTATTGAAATCAGACAACATCCCATTCCCCAAGCAGCTTATATTATTAAGTGGGGATGCAATAAACAAGAAAAAAGCTGGGCATAGTTACACACACCCATAATTTCAGCAACTTGGGAGTGTGAGGCAGGAGCATGTTTGAAGTCAACCACAGCAATTTATCAAGACCCCATCTCAAAATAAAAAAAAAATAAGAAGGGCTAGAATATTATGCTAATGAAGTAAGCCAATCCCCCCAAAAATAAATACCTAATGTTTTCTCTGATATGAGGATGCTGATCCATAATGGAATGGGGCAGGGAGTATGGGATGAATGGAGGAACTTTAGATGGGGCAAAGGGGATGGAGCAGAAGGAAGGGGGTATGGGGGTAGGAAAGATGGTGGAATGAGATGGACATTATTACCCTAAGTACATGTATGAAGACACAAATGGTGTAACTCTACTTTGTGTACAACCAGAGACATGAAAAATTGTGCTCTATGTGTGTAATATGAATTGAAATGCATCCTGCTGCCATACATAATAAGTTAGAAATAAGTAAACAAACAAACAAATAAATAAATAAATGGAGGACTTGGAAATGTAGCTCAGAGGTAAGACATCCCTGAGTTTGATCCACAAAAAGATAAAAACAAACAAAAATAAGGTAATATTTTGGTGTTAATATGAAATTATTTTTTAAAAAAACTACTATTCACAGAACATCCTACTATTAAGCTACAGTAAGACATGAGGAAGCTACTATCACTTTAATACAGAATAAGATAGAAACCACTGATTGTTTACTCATTATTCTCATTCTTTGTTGGATTCTTCTCTTCTCTTTTCTTTTCTTGTACTGGGTATTAAGCTGAGGGTGCTTTACCGCTGAGCTTCATCTCTAGTCCTTTTTATTTTTTGTTTTGAGACAGGGTCTCCCTAAATTTCCCAGGCTGGCCTGGAAATTGAGATTCTCCTTCCTCAACCTCCCAAACTATTGGGATTACAGGTGTGTGCCAGTGAACCTGGCTTTCATTGAATCTAAAGGCTGAACATTTGAGCACCACTTCAGTGTCTAGGTTCCAAAGGATGAATGGATGTAGATAAGAGAGGAATGGGGCCAGCAAGCATGCTGATCTCATTTTCTGATTTCTCATTTCCATGAATATAAGGATTTTTCAAATGCACACTACTGCTGGAAGGAGTAAAGAGAGAAAAGCTTCACCAAGCTGGCAAGCAAAATCAAAGTGTGTTCAGCATAATGAAACCACTCAGTAGATATTCAAGAAAGAACTGATGGACGATAACAGACTACTATTCCAAGTATACCGAGGAGTTTTTACTTAAGTTTCACGAGTTTAAATTTAAAAAAAGAGCACATTATAAACTACTCTGGCTTATACTGTCTGTAGGCAAACTGACTCCCCTCCGTCTCTCCCAGGATTTCAATGGGGATAGGATATTGATAAAGAGGGTAGATTCCTTCATGATATTATTTTTGCATTAGGTCTAGTTATTGAGTAAAACAATTTCTAGAGAAAGCACCACTAATATTTCTGAATGTTATCTTTGATCCACAACAATTATAAGGTCATTTTCCAATTTTTAAAATACATTTCTGTTGAAAGAACGGTATAACACAAAACCAGGACTTTATTCCTAGGTCCCACTTGGCCAGATTTTAGGGCCTAAATCTATTTCCTTAGGTTGCTACCCATTCCTGTTCTGACTGAGAAGCACAAATCCTGTTTTTTGATTTTGATAGCTTAAAAACAATATGACTGAAAACAGAAGGGAGACCACTGGAGGAGAGGAAGGAAGCCAGGTGAAGGGAGGAGGGAAAGGAAAGGGGAGAAATGGAGAATAAAACTAACAAAATTATGTTATGTACACAGATGAATATGTAACAACAGTCAACTATTATGTCCAATTATAATGCAACAATAAAAAAAAATCAAAATTGCTCCAGCATCAGAGTGTGATGGGAAGAAAAGAGGAAACTTGGATGCTGTCAGGTACAATCACTGACATTCAGCTTCACTCCATATTATAGTCAATGCTTTGGGACTGCCTCTCACAATTGCTCAGGTTTCACAGGATATGCTGTGTTTTTA